CCCCCCACCCCCTCATGGCAGTGGTGCGTAACTTTTGAATAACCCTGTAAAATCATAAATGTTTTTTTTTCTCTTCTTTTTCTTTAGTTGAAAACTACGATTTGCTCATTAATGTAATCCACTTCAACTTAAAAAAATTAATTTGATGAATTGATTATGTTATTCAGATAAAATGTTCACAATTTATTTTTTAATTTATGTTTTATGATGAGATATGCATAAGTAACTCAATAGAGCTGTGTTAATCGTGGATTATGAACTAATTACATTATTCTAGGGTGAGTTTAAATTACCATCAAAGTTATTTTAGGTTCGAAGCTTTTTCCTTTACCCTTTAGTTTTGAATTTAAGTTTTCTTTACTCTCAGATTTATTAATTCTTCTCTTTGCAAAGGGGTACGTGCAAAACGGGCCGTTTCACGCTCGTGTCGGATACCATTGAAACTTGCCCTATTCATTCATCTAACAATGCCCCATGTTTTCCCAAAGTTTCAAGTCCCCAAAAAATTTTGGGGGGAAGTGGCGGGGGGGCAAAAGTTGAAAATCCGCGAAATTTTTGCGAATTTAGAAGGAGCTAGTGAGTGTTTGCATGCACAGGAGGGGGCACCTGTCCTAACACGGTTGGCGAATAGCATATCGCACATTGGCGGCGAAACAGTGAATCTATCCCAGACAACTTACCCTCTTAAACGGTTTCAAAATATCTTAATCAATTTTGTTTCGTAAAATATTTTCAAATAAAGATCAGCCATTCAGTTTTAGATTACCGAAATTTAGGCACTCGTCAAGATTCAGAGGGAGCCTTAAATTTTAATGGTATCACAACTATTGATAATTACAGCTTTAATTGTGACTACTTTTGAATATTGGTAGTCTCACAACCTCCTTTGATTAAAAACTTATTTTTGAGGTTGTCAAGGTACAGCATTTTGGAACTGGCATTTCTTGAATTTGTGGTTTTGTTATGATAAGGAAACACGAATATCACCTCTGTAGTTCCTATATATTTGATGTTAAGTATGTATATCGTTCTGCGAAAATTTGCACGATGGCAAAATCAGAAAAGGTTGGACTTATTTCACCAATAAACCAGTTTCTGTGTTAGTTTCGACGTAATAGCTTTTCAGCACTGAGGACCCCCAAAGCACAAGAGCTTGTCATCGATCTTAGTGGGAAATATAACAAAATAATCAACTTCACGATTATAAAAATACTTCTCTGATAGGAAGTTTGAGAAAGAGAAATTTTTGGATTTCAAACACAAAAGGGTTAGTTTGAAAAGTGGTGTCAAAGCCTATGTAAAACGATAACCTCGTAAAGTAAGAGGCCGAGGAGCCGTAATTTTGAATGGGCATTGGGCGATTTTTGACTTTTTGGTATCGGGTCCGGACTTTTTTCCTGTTTTTTATTTGAATGAAACTTTTTAAAAAATTTAATGAGGGTCTCAAATTTCAGGTGCGGTATCCCCCTAAACCTCCAAGAGAGGTTGGAGGAGCTTTGAGACCAAAAAGATCCTTGAAGTCGATTAAGTATGGCAACACCAGTGCCCAGAGACTCTACGTCAAGTTTGAAACAAAATCGTTTCCCCAGATGGAGGCTTCACCCCTCTCTTGGAGGGATTGGTGTTTGGCATGGCGTGGTTTGGTTTTGGGCTTTCAAGTGTCCAGTTGGGTCGAAACGTATGTGCTTTTGAATTTGGAGGAAATTTAATTTGAATTTCGGTTGGGGACTCTGATTACAACAATCATACTATATAACTCCTTCGTCTTTGAGAACTTTCATAAAATAATTGTGCTGTTAGCAGATGGGGGGAGAAGGTACTTTCTAAAGGAACAAGACGATAAAACCATCTGAAAACCGGACCCTGACTACTGCTCCCTCCACATACTAGGTCATATCACGGCACCATGGACGTATAATACAATCTAGACCACGCAATAGGAAATTTCGGCGAGACGATAAGAAACCCGAATTGCAATATGTGCCGAGACAATGGAAATGCGAGTCTTGCCTGTGCCGTTGCCTGGCACGCTTCGTATATCCGGCTGTATCAACTAAGCTGAAGGCGCGTCTTTACCCAGATTTACCCCGCCTAAGTCTTACCTCCCCTGCCTAAAGTCGGACCTTGTGCGCGGTCTAGATTATGTTATAAGTCAAAGCACGGCACAGAATCTTAGTGCTAAATCATTGGAGGTAAAAAACGATATCCTGCCCCCCCTTTTTAAGAGAGGAGGAACTTAGCTTGGAATTGACTGACATCTGTATCTTGATAAAATGATTTTGGTCTTGACATTGGATTGAAAAAGACCGGGACGAAATACTACTGGGTGGTTGTTGTCTTGATAGATAGAGGTGTCGTCATATAAGTTGCCATTTGTTTACTTTCAATTTGCAGGCGCCGGCAACGAATTTACGTCTCTGCACAAAGTGTTGTTCGCTACTATCCACCTTGAAAACATTCGTCTCATTATCGTATCATAAGAAAACTACTTTTCAATTATGATCCGCAACTTTCATGTGGTTGTGATTTCTTGTGGCTAAAAATTAAAGTGTTACAAGGTTTGAAAGTATTAAAAACCCTATCCAAGTTTATGTTTTCGCTTCTGCGAGAGTCGGATGTTTTCATGTGGATAGTTAGGACGCGAAAACGCCTGCAAATTGAAAATAAACAAATGTCAACTTATCTGAAAACACCCCTAGGAAAATCCGTTTGATGACACCATTTGCATGAAAGTTCGGTCATATTCCTTGAAGAAGGGGCACGACCCTGCTTGATATGGGCAAAAGGATGGAAAGGAAAAGTGTTGACTGTTAGTTTCCCTTGAAGTTCCTTAGTACAATCGTCTCGATACCATAGATCATAACTCAACCGTGCTCCTATCTTTGTTTCCCCTATCTTTCTACACCTTCACCTACTCTTCAATCAAAACAATATTCCAGCCGAAGGTAGGAGTGGAAGTATAAAGAAGAAAGAAGGCAAGGGTGAGCAAATGTTGAGAAACCTGAACAGTGCTTTTCGGCTCACTTTTCATTATTGGATGAGTTGGAAGCCAAATAACAAAAACCGTCTCATCTGAGAATCCTACCCCCCCCCTTCCTTACATATATTAAGCAATCTCTTTACCTATTCAGGTTCCATTAAGGAGGTATTTTTTCCAACTCTCTCTCTCTCTCTCCCTTCTCTCTCTCCCTCTCTCCCTCCCCCCTCTCTCTCCCTCTCTCCCTCTCCCTCTCTCTCTCTCCCTCCCTCTCCCTCTCTTCTTTTCGAAAATTGAGCCTCATTTCACCCTTGAGATTAAATCTCCAAGCCAGAGATTAAATCTCTGGATTCAGAAACAAAAGAGCAGCTAGAGATAGGGTGACCTCTTTATGAAGGTGCAAAACTAAACTTTCATGCAAAATATTTCGGAAAAGGTTGCTTTCTTTGGAAAAGACAGCTGAACTGTGCAACAGGACTTGTTGATTTTCTTCCTAAATCCATGGAAAAAACTGTAATTTTTAGACCAGAAACCCAAGAGTGGCCAGTTTCAAATCGAGAACTTCCTGACAACCACCACCACCTCCCCCCCAACCCGTGGAAAATTCATAGAATAGGCAAAATAATTACTAATAGCACAAATATGACAATTAACCCAAGACGGTCCTCAAAATTTGACAAAAGTTTTTCTCTTAAACTTTGAAAGGCTGTAATTTTGCTAAGTTTAGAAGGTATGTTCAGTGGAAAAAGAAGTCTCATTTAAACCTATAAAATTGACACTTCAAATCCTGCTGGTTTAACTCAAGACATCGTACGGAATCCCTCACAATTCTAAATGTTTGAGACCAAGAGACACTTTCACGTCTGCCATACAACCGTGATCTCGATCATGCTCAGTGTGACATTTCTTTCAAAACTCAAATAAACATATTACAAACGATATTTTCTCTTTGGATGATGAGATCAAGGAAAAGATCTGAAGAATAGGATTTGATAATATTTTGCTGACACTAACAACCATTTTCTTTGAATCTTGTAGAGCACTGCACAGAATTAAGCGATGAGTGAATGAAATAGTCATGAATCATTTTATAGGGAGTTGCAAATAATTTTTACTCCCATTCCTTTAAAGTACTGGTAAAAAATCCTTTAACATTCCTAAAAATTGTATAAGTGTGTATTACTTTTCTTTTCGCCCTTAAAATACTTAGATGAACGTTAAAAAATCATTTTGACGATAAAACTCTCAATAAAGTCAAACCAGATGAACATTGGGTCGGTTAAAAGTTCATGATTCATTCACGCAAACTAGTTTTGAGAAAAAACTATGTTTGTAAAGTGTTTATCTGCTATTTTGGGCTTAAAATTGGCAGATCATAATATGTACAATTTTATGACTTCTACGGCAATTATACATAAATTATACTGTTCACAACTTAATTTTCTGGATTCTAAGGGGGGGAGGGGGGGGGCTTTTTGTCGAAAAGTCAAATTTCAATATCCAGAACAGACAAAAATATACCTTCGGTAAAGTTAGTCTCTTTACACCAAGGTCTCTTTTTCCATAGACGGTCTACATTTGGGTGAGGAATGCATAGAAAGTTGTTGCTATTTCATCCATAATAGTAACTACATCAGGTGTAAGGCAAAAAGGGAGAGATAAGAAAAGTTTTATTTTTTGCTTCAACAGATCCACACACAACCCTTGGTCTTTAAAAAGTTTGATATACATGGAAAATTGAAGGAAACCGATAAAATGACTCCCTCTATTTAGATAACAAATTTTCCTCCTTAAATAATAAAGAGGAAAACTTAACACTAGAGTGCGCCACACTAGGAAAATGACTGAATTGCTAAGTCATTACAAAAAACACATACACACACTAAAATCGATGCATCCTTGTGCGTGCACACTAACACACTCACAATAAAAACAAACCTTACAGGAGATTACTAATTGTAAGTTGAAGCCAAAAAAAGGGGGTAGGAAAGACAAAGAGAAAAAATATGCAGAGCTAACTTACTTTGTTAGAGCTAGGAGTGGTTGGCAATGTTTCATCAGCAGTTGGAGATAGTTTTGTATCAGGCAGTCTCTGTTCTTGTACTGAAGCTAGTCTGTAAAAAGAAAAGAAAAAAGAAAAAAAAATGCAGAAAGGATAAGAAATGCGTAGTGATTAGAAAAGAGTTTAACAAACCCTAATTTCTAGACATTTCATTGCAGATAATTGGTCAGTTGCTCTGGTGACAGAATTGTGTTATGATGCTTAATTCTTTTAGATTACCAAAAAGTTATAAGATCTACCAAATTAGCAATGTTTTATGTTTAACATTAACCAAGATTTTGCCATTAAAAAGAAGCATTTAGGAATAATTTACTGTGGTAATGAGATCAAGAGTTTCTTCCATTTCGGATCAGTCAGTGATGCAGTTAGGAAAACACTAGTGTTTTTTACTGAGCTGACACTGTTGTAGTGATCCACAGCATCAACTGGCATAAACCTCAAAGCTACCATAGCCACAGTAGTCGGATATTGTTCGGAGGCAACACTTGCAACATGTTGTGAAAACAAGCAACAATTGCATTTGGTTCGAAGTTGTTTTGAGTTGTGGGGGCAGGGCTTATTTTCGCCAGCAAAACTTGGGAGCCACTGAAGCAAGACTGTTGCACAACAATTGCAACGTGCTCAGAGCAAGTCGTTTTTATGTTGTTGCCCGAGACAACACTGTTATCTAACGTAAAATTCAAATTTGCTCTCTCATTGGTTGCTCAGAATCGCGTAAAAGAAACAAGAAAAAAACAAACAAAAACAACTTGGTGTTCCGAGCAAAACACGACTAGTATACCAGAGGGAAAAAGTCTGTTTTCAGCTATTTTTACAGACATTAATCGACGATCATTTCATGGTTGAACTAGCAAGAGTACCCCTGCTTCACACAAGATTGGCATCATTCACCTTTCATGTTTTTTTTAGCAAAGAATCTGTTCCGCATATTTTATTTTTTGTTTTTATTGTGTGTGAGGGTGTGTGTGTGTGTGTGTGTGTGTGTGTGTGTGTGTGTGTGTGTGTGTGTGTGTGTGTGTGTGAGGGTGGGTGTGTGTGTGTATGTGTGCATTCATGTAACGATGCTGGATTTTCTTTGTTAAAAGCGGCAATGAAAACTTTACAATTGGTTAACTTGCAAGAACACGCCACAGAAGACTATTTATGAAAGTAGCACAATTTAGTAGTTATGAATTTATTCAAAGAAAACAGGAGAGAGAAATAAAAATGCGTTTGATGAAACAGTAAGAAAAAACAGAGTCAACAATTAAGTGACGCAGTCATGTACCCGCAGTAATCCACCCCCCTAGTCCTAGTAACACACCTGTAAGGCAGGCTCAGACTCCCACCCCACCATAAAACGTTACGTACGAGGTCTGTTAGATAAGAAACCAGATTTAGGTGAAAACTAGCCCATCATGCATCCAAACTAAGTTTCACTGGACTTTCTTGATAGCTGAACGCTACATTCACAATTTTGGAAAATCTTAATTAGCTTTGTTGGTACGTGGTTTGAAGTAAGGCAACCTGATGGGTGTCCTTTCTTTTTTTGGGGGGCCTTACCCTAATGCCAAGGGCTTTCTACTGCCAACTCTTTTGGAATCTTTGGTTTTCTTTTTCTTTTATTCTTTTAATCTTGTTTTGATTCTACTTGCTTTAATCTTTTCTTTTCTCCTCCTCAGTCTCTGTGTGCCTTACTAGTTTTCCTCCTCAGTCTCTGTGTGCCTTCTTTTACTTGCCTTGTTCTTTTCTTTTCTTTCTTTTAGTTGGTACATTACTCGTGTGTGTTGGCTCACGAGGACATTAACAATTGTGATAAGTGCCCCCGGCTATGGCAAGGGCGGATTGGGGCTCTTGCCCCCCAGTTCGGGAGGCTCCTGTCGTAGCAAGCACATTCCTCCCGAATACTTATTTGTCCTCTCAGCGAGCCTTGCGTTTGTGACGAGGGCGGTGCTCACACGAGCCCGTGTTCCCCCTCGACCACACGTCTTCGGACGTCGCTAGCGTGTATCCTCGGACGCGGCCTTGGAGGTGCTGCCGGTGACTCATCCCGTTGCCGGGGTGTGGTCTATGCGTTCCGTGTCCCTTAAATTGTTTGTCAAGTTGCCTTTGTTTGAATCAGGATCGTCGCAGGATGACGACCTGGGAGGAGCCTTTTTTTAGAAGTTCTTTATTATAGTTTAAAGATACATTCATACAGTTGAAGAGTCTTAATTTTATATTTTATCCTAATTGTCTAGTCTTAGTCTATATCTATAATATCGAGACCCCGGAACCGCCTGTTGGGAGTACGTCGGGGTGTGGGTAAGGGGGTGGCTTTGATACAATATTGTTTATCTTATCATTGTACATTTTATTCTAATCTTCTAAAGTATTCTTAATGCAATTTTATCCTGAGTTCCGGTATTTCCTATTCTCTAACACAAGTTGTAATAAGTTATTTGCACATATTTGATTATTGATTTCCTTTTCTAATTTCTCCCTATCTTTTTCGTTTAATTTACAAGCAAAAAATGTGTGTTCAGGAGTATCTAATTCTCCGCAGGAGCACAGAGGAGAATCCGTGAGATGTCTTTTATCCAAATAGCTTTCGTATGCACCATGTCCGGACATATACTGAGTCAGATAGAAATCAGGCAGTTCTATCCAGCCAGGCATCTAAATCATTTAGTACTGTTTTTATCCATTTGTTTCCAGTTTCTTTTTCCCAGATTTCTCGCCATTTGTCTCTAATTTCGAATTCTACAGTTAGTTTATTCTCTCTCTCTTGCTATTCTTAGTTTTAGTTCAACGAGGAGCCTGGCTGGAGGAACCCCCGATATTACATCTTGGGCAAAATTTGATACCGGCATCTTCAATCTTTTGGCATCTTTCAGTTTCTTTTTTTTTTTCTTTGTGTTTATGTGTTACACTACATTACTTTTCTGTTGCTTACTTGCTCCTCCTCAATCTCGTTGTGCTTTCTCTTGTGTTCGCTCTCTCCTATGCATCTCGATGTGCCTATTTTATTAGTCTTCCTATGTTCTTTTCTACTTTCTTTTAATTGGCTTTACATTGCTCGTGGGCTAACTTTGACTTTTCGCCACGAGGACATTCAACACTTATAAAACTTGCCCCCAGCTATGCCGAGGGCGGGTTTGGGCTCGTGCCTACCCGAAGCGGGAGGCTCCTGACGCAGCAGGCAAATTCCTCCCGCTATTTCGAAGGTTGGATCCTCTCGGCGAGGTTTGTGGAGGGGGCGGAGCTCACAAGAGCCCGTGCTCCCCCTCGACCATACGTCTACGGACGTCGCGCGCGTCCCGCCTCGGACGCGGCCTCGGGGGTGTTGCCGGACGCCCGGGATCATCCGGATCGTCCGGGTCGTCCGGATCGTCGATGATGGAGTCAGCCACGTCGAAATCCTCCAGAGCCTTGATTTCCTCCGTCCGGTTCCTGGCCAGAGCTTTCCATATCCACGATGGAGCTCGTGCTGCTCTGACCAGGAGGTCCTCTGGGGTGGGGTCGATGTCGAGGCTCCGTAACCCCTCCCTCGGTTCCGTGAAGGAGGGGCACGTTGTGAGCCTATGGACGGGGTCATCAAGGACTCTGCAATCTGGACAAAATCCCTGGGCGGACTTCCAGATTCGGACGAGATGACAGCCGAACCCGCCGTGTCCGCTTAAGAATTATGCCCAGTAGGGAGAGAAACGGACGTCTGCCTGAAGGCAGGCCTGGATGTTAGGTGTAAAGGCTTTCGTTACGGCCCCCTTTTCGCAGACGTCCCAGCGCTCTTGCCACGTTTCTAGGGACTTGTCGTTTAGCGCTTGTTTAAGTGAGGCTTTTGTATTATCTCCCTTGAAGAATTCGTGCCCGCCGTACATTAATCTTCCAGTGCGAAGGCACTCATCCAAGGCCGCCGCTGCCATAGCTCTTATGCTCAGGGGGAGCTCTCCCGCTAGGACCGCGGCCGCTTCTGTTGAGAGGGTCCTGTATGCACCGAGGCAAGTTTTCATACAGACCCTTTGGCCGCGGTCCAGGATTCGTTGGTAAACTTGGTAGGCGCTGCGACGACCCCATATTTCTGCGCCGTAAAGTACGGCGGGCACTGCGGCTCCGCGGTACACCTGCAGAAGGGTCTTAGTGTTGATTTCACACTTCAGAAAGAGGCCGCGGAGGGCGAAGAAGAGCCTGATTGCCTTCCCACTGCCTCCTTCATGTGTTCGCCAAATCTCTGCTTCGGATCTAGGTAGATACCTAAGTAACGACCCTTCGTCTCCTCCAGGGGTACAACTTCGCCTAGAATGGTAGCCCTCGGGACTCGGGCTGGTTGAAATGTCCCGAAGGCCATTCTCCAGGACTTCGACGTGCTGAACGTTAGTTTGTGTAGTCCTGCCCACTCTGAGAGTTAGTTTAAAGCTGTTTGGGCCGTGCCACCGACAAATCTCCACGTGTCTCCCCAGACGACGAGGAGGAGGTCACCTGCATAAGCGACGATTTCGCAGTTTAGTACGGCCCAGGACAGGAGGATCGTGTCTGGAACCAAGTTCCAAATCTCTGGACCCCGCATTAATCCTTGCGGGGCCCCCTTGGTAAAAGACTTTAGTACCGTGATCCCACTGTCGGTGATGCTGACGAAGCGGTCTCGCAGGTAACTTCTCCACAGCTGGACGATGTTCTCCGGGTAGCCCTTCTCTATCATCGCTTTTAGAGCGGAGGGCCACCATACGTTGTCGAACGCGGCTTTTACATCGAGGCTAACGAGCATGACTTTTTGCCCCAGCGCGTTCTTCTGCCTTGTTAGCTCGTTCACTCTGCGGACCGCGTCGATTGCGTTGCGACCTTTGCGAAAGCCGAATTGTTGGTCTACGTGGCCGTCGCCGCCCAGAGCAGCTTGTGTAACGATCCCCATCACCCTCTCGAGAAGCTTCCCTACTTCCGAGAGCATGTGAGGGGGCGCCAGTTGGAAATGTCTTGTACGTCTCTCTCCTCTCTACCTTTGGGGATTGTGACGAGTTTTCCCGGCTTCCAAGCGCGGAGAAAATATCCGGATTTAAAGCATGATGAGAAGATGGAGAGGAGCCAGAGGCCGAGGAC